ACCTTGTGAGGCATTTTAATCGAAAAATAAAGCAAGCCATGAAGCGAAAGAACCACACACACTGGGGAATTGGTGCACGTACCGTTCGACCGAATTCAAATAGCTATGTCCATCGTGTCCACCAACTGCGTAGAGCAAATCGTTTACAACGCCTACGCCGACCCCACAGCGTCGCTTGTGCATGGGTGCTACTAAACGCCATTCATGTGTACGCGGGTCATAGTGTTCGGCCGAAGCAATTGCATCCCCGGAACACCAACCGCCCACGGCAAACAGCAACTCACCAGACTGGACCGGTTTGCGCGGTTTGGTCCGCGGGCCTTGCATAAGTGGACGCTCCTGAGGCAACAAAAGATAGTTCTTCGCTTCGTCCACCAGATCACGACAACGCTCGTCCGATCGAATGAGCAAATCGGCCCCTACCGTACCAACAAGGAATTTCGGGCTGAGCAAAGGCAGTCGGATGTGTTGCATCAAGTAGGCTAGATGACGTCGTCGGTCAGCCAGATTATGATGAATCCAACGCATCGCGGCCCGGTAAACTTGCTCCTCGGTACGAACATTTAACTCATCTAGACTGAGGATGTCTACCAGTTGGTTCACCGGAAGCAGTAGAAATTCTTCAGACTCTACCACCTCCTGATAATTGTCACATAAAGAGGGGAAAAGGACCAAATGAAACGTCAAAAGAAGGTACTCAGGTTTCGAGCAAACACCTGCAGAAAGTATGGAGACGAATGAAAATAAATATCGTGTTTTTGCCGCGATCATCTTTATAATGCAGGGAAGTACCCAACTCCAGGACGGGAATCGTGAACTATTTTTTACCACAGAGACACCGTAAACGGTATGTCCAGATGCATGAATGAAAACAATCATAGTTAGATTTTTGCACGGAAATTAAGACCGGGGGAAGGCAGGGAGCTTCACCTATACGTAGATCTAAGGTTTGCAAAAAAATAAGATGAGCAATATTAACTGATCAGCGAAGCAGACATTCGTTTTTCAAAGGCCTAAAATTAGACAACAAACGGATTGAACACAAGTGATATGTTTATCTCGATCAGATGACGAAGTAAAAGCGCATCTTTTAGAATACCCTTTTTCTTAACTACATCATATAGTAAACCCTGAGATCGTGGTAGGATGATAATAAAAGGAGTATGTATTTGTAACAAGCGATGCTTTGAATCTTGACAAGAGCAAACTGTGTTGCGTCACAGACGTGATTTCCTTTCGATAGTACAATTCATCTTAACATATGGCCAGGCTAAAAATGATGTTTTCAAAACAGTTCATCGAAGAAGACCGAAAGGGACAGCAAACGACACAGCTGTGCTTTGTAAAGCTAGACAGTTCAGTCTGTACAACCATTAACCATGCACTTACGTGCACCAGTTTTAGTTACTGTCTTTTTGCTGCTCATTTGGATGAAGGAGTAGGAAAACGACAGGAAAGTTGAAGTCACAGTCGAAGAGAAAACAGAGAATTTCAGTTGACCGAGATTGCAGAGTTTGAGGGGAAACACGAGCGGCACTGTGCACTGCAGTAAGCCATATCACTGTCCAAGAACCATTCCAGGTTAAAAGTATACAATGAAGGAACATTATGGGGGTGGGTTGTCATGATCATGTCTCCGTGGGCTTCTTATCGACAGACAAATGAGGTCATACTCACGTGCAGTTACGAAAGTTGGACAATTCTTGCAGAAGAACCGATCAACTGGTACGATGGAAGTCAGCCGTGATTTGACAAGATGCAGTCTGTTGAGTCACATGCGAACGGCGTTTATTTACAAATGGACATGTTACCACGCCTGACCTAGCGAGGCCTTAAGTGGTTCGCCACTCCAAGTCCCGAGGCTTAGGTTATCGGCTTCCATGACAGAGCAGCAGGTCTTCGTGACCATAGGGTTCACCTCCTCTGCTGTTCGATACAAAAAAATGAGTGTAATAAAAAAATGCGCACGAGAAGAACTGCACGATAGTCAATAAATATGTTGTTGTCCTTGATGTTTTAGTGGATTATGAAGTCTTTGGGAGTCGATTCAACCATATTTGAGATGTAAACTTCGGTTACGCGGTTCTTCATCTTGATTCTCACAATAAAATCTAGTGACACTGGTTGAGAGTTAATTCTATTCTTTGAGTACGATAAACATATTTTTATTCAGGTTGAGATCAGTTGTAAAAACTATTCAGGGTTTCAGAGAGCTAGCAGCAAATGGGTATTAGCGAGTTTTTTTATCAAGAACAAACTGATCTTGCATGAGGTGCATGAACTTGTGGAATCAACGATTCTTTGGAACCACTACCCTTGAAGCGACCGGAGGCACAACTGCTAGCAGCATATGCAAACAGGACACGAGACAGCAGATATCAGAAAAGTGAAGAAAGTATTGCGACAAATGAATTTTCCGCACAACAATCTGTCGTGCTAGCCAAAAACACATTGTGTCAACCTACTCATTGCCTTCTATTTGTAAACACCGTTTAATATATACTCAAATAGGCAGGAGGGAAAGCGACATTTTCAAATACGTTTCGAATTGTAGACACAGTGAGGTAAATACAATCAACAGAATTATACGTCACTTCGTGCCAATGTTCGTTACCGTCCAAGACGGTTGCGCACTGGAAGAAATCAGAGCTTAGAACAGTACCGGGAGATAAGCTACAGAACATAGATTCTTTAAAAATGGNAGACACAAGCACCACCATTTACAATCCTCAGAATTATCAGGCAGGGTTCCGAAATAAAAAAAACCTTCGTTGGTCTTGGTTATCACGGAGAATGCTATGCATCAAAGTTTCAGAAAAACTGCTTGAAAAAAGGTCTCTCTCACAAGTGACGTTAGTAAGTGTTCTCTAAAACTTGAGCCAACACTATTTAACATTTGATATAGAAAATTTGTATGGAGGACAAGGACTTAGGTGACACCATCTGCGTGCACAAAAAAGCTTACAACCTTCGAAACCAGTTGATCATCAGGAAGAGACTGCACTTTGACGTGGTGTGATGGCTTGTGCAACTCTAAGACCCAAGGAGCCACACAGGATGGCCTTTATCAAGTCAGGGGAATTTATCATTCCTGTAAGGTCAGAGGGCAGACAAATCTCAGTTTCCTGGTCCTCCAGGTTGGTGGTTCGACTCGAGTTAGCGTATCAGTCGGTAAAATGGTAGAGGAATAATCGATCCGAGTAAATGGGCCACCATTTTGTTTTACCTGCTGCTTTGCAGTAAGGTTCTTGTTAGATCTAAAGGCTTTGATTGAGAACCCCAATAGCTCTCCTGCTTAGTGGCTGGACAACCTAGCAGTACCCGTCCATCAAACCCCAATGCACACACAAACCATAAATAATTCTATACTGCATTGGTCGTCAGGCAGGATAATCTAGACCGCGCTGTTCATTGCATCGAGCGGGGTGGCTAGTGATAAGTGGACTACTGTCAGATTGGGAGAGCAATGCACTCCGCAGAGATGCTTGCTTGTGGATCTGAAGCGGTAGCGCGTCCTAGACATTAGATATCTGATGAGTCAATAGCACTGATGGAGAAAAAGCGTCAAATCCCGACCGCCCGGGACCAAGGCAGGGGTAGGTGGCGTCTGAAACGTCAACTCAAGAAGAGCCTCAAGAAAGATCGTGGGAACTGGTGGACAACGATAGGTAGTGAAATGGAAGTAGCAGCTACATCAGGGAATAGTAAAAGACTGTTCCAACTGATACGCAACACGAGGGCGACGAACCACAATTAGTGAAACAATATGCGACGAGAGTGGACAAGCTATTCACAGTGGACGGAGTATTTCAACGAACAGTTCAGCTGGCCAGGCACCGATCAGACTGCCTTGTCTGTTGTATTTGAGGCTTAATGAGCAGTGTCATATAAACCTCGTACTTAAGCAAAAGTACGACCGTAGATCCAAGCCCTGAAGAAAGGAAACGCAACAGGACCTGACGGGCTTCCTCACACTCTTCAAGATGGAGGGCGTGGATTCCATTACTAGATTAAATGAGTAACGTCTGATCACAAGAGTTTGATGGGGTAACCGAACGAGCAATGCTGAGGTTAGACGTAATCGCGGTCGTTTACTGGAGCAAGTGGACGACCTCTAGAGATTACGCTGGTGGAAGCATGTGTTGCGCATGTCACCAGATAGGCTGCCACGGCGAACGATGTTTGCCCAGGCAGGCAGTAGATGGAAAAAGGTCACGGGTGGTCAAACGAAGACCTGGCAGAAGGTTATGCAAATCCTAACCAGGAAACTGGGTCACATAGGTCCTGTTAGGTTCCCTGGATGGGGACCCCGAGGTCATGGTCACCGGTGGTTAGATACACAGAGCGACATGGCTGGGTGTCGCAAACAGTGGCGCTCATGCATCTAATCTTGCAACCTCAGTCTATGTGAATTATCTATCTTCCGTTTAAACTTACTCAAATCTTCATTTTGCTCTTTTATCCAAATGGGCGACCAAAAGATAACCAAAACTGGCCCATGGAAGCGAGTGGTTAATGGTTGTAAAAACTGGAACTGAAACAAGAGCTCATTCGACCATCCGGGAGCGAATCACTGATTGTTCCAATTTTTAAGAAGGGAACTCGCAACGACTACGCAAACTACCATGGAATAAGTTGGACCCCAATCGTCACCAAAGTATCAGCCTGCACCATACTTTGACGTCTGACACCCTTCAGGGAGAAAAATATTCACGAACAAGCAGGATTTCGACCAGGTCGCGGTTATATCGACCAAACCTTCACGATGCGTTAAGTCTTCGAACTACGCCACACACACACCGCGGACTAACGGTTGTCATGTTCTTTGACCGCGAATCCCTTATTGGTTTGTTCCTTCGCAAAGGAATGCCACAGAAGTATGTGAACATACTGAGGTCATTCCACTCGCATACTTCTGGTAACGTAAGGGTCTAAGGTGAGCTGAGTAGGTCGTACGTAACTAGCAACTGTGTTCGTCAAGGATACCCTATTTCGCCAATCCTGTTCAATCATACAAGAAATACTGCAGAACGCAATAAGTGTTCCACAAAATGTTGGAGAAAAGCTGTGCGTCCCGGGACACGTTTAAGACATCCTTTGCCTGTTCGAATGTATGGGGAATGACCAAAGCGCACTTGACAGACTAGCAAGTTTAGTTGCTCCGTTCGACATGTGCTTCACACCTTCAAAGTGCAAACTAATGCGGCAAAACTTGGTGTCACCGAGTCCCACTTTGAAAATAATTGACCAGGAATTAATTATAGTTGATTACTTTTCCTATGTGGGTAGTTGTGTGACTAATGACGATAGCGCACCAAAGGAGATAACCACCCGAATTTACGAGGCTCGAGCAACGAACGCAAGACTAAAAGCGCTGTGGCGATGATGTGACGTTTCACTGAAGTTGAAATGTCACGTATTTGCGCCACTGTACGATCAGTTGTGCTTTACGATTGTCAGATCTTGAATTAACGAGTAAGAGATATCACTCGACTGGAGGTTTTCGATTATCGGTGTTTACATAGTTTGGATCACGTGATTTGGAGTGAGTAACATTGAAGTAAATTGTCGAGTGTTTGGGAGTGCATCAAACGCGAGCTCGCTAGCGCATGAAGTTCAGCTCAATGGGCTCCGTTGGTTAGGACACGCTTTGCGTCTAACGGTCGGCTAGCGTACCACGCCCTATATGCAACGGCCGCTCCAGACTGGAGAAAGCCACGTGGAGACGAGGCATGAAGAAATGCACAGAACGATTGGGTAGAGCAGGTTACTCCCGTCTGCCGAGACGGGAGTACCAAAACAAAACACTCCGTAACTGGATGATTGGAGACAGTGAGGGCCATAGGAGCAAACCAACAGCAGTGGCGATCCTACTGTCACTTCTTATCAGACGAGAATGCTCCGGTTGCATCTAACATTCTTGCATCTAATAAAGTCCGAAATTTGAGGTAACTTTTACCGTATAACTAAATTTCACATGCGATCAATTCAGTTTTAGTTTTCACAACCATTAGCCATGCACTTCCGTGCGCCGGTTTTGGCTGCCCATTTGGATGAAGGAGTAAAGAGAAGATTGGAATGGTCAAATTGTGAAGCAGAGAAAAACAACGACTCTGATGTGGCCAGCCAAGAAGGCCCTAATGAAATGGACAGTAGTGAAGCTACGCAGTATCGACGACAAAAAAAGATTATTCACGAACAACGACACAATAACGACTTCAATGGCCACATTTTTAGTCTACGACAATTCACGGCAATACTCCACTCTTCAGTAAATCTGAACAGTCTAGTAACAGAGATGTATTATGGTGAAAATTAATTCCACATGTACATGCGATGGAAATCTTGGTGATGACCGATAAAGAGAACTGGACAGCTGTTCGGCCTGTTTGGGACTCGTCAGCAGTGTGTACTTGCTGTGTCCCTGTCAGAACTCGAATTGCGAACATTGGGTGCTGGAACTTCAAACCGCTTACCCTGAGATACACGGTCAACAGTAATGTGCGAATGGTTCAATCAACTTAGACGGTGAACGTTTGGATTAGCCCATCCGGTTCTTGACATACACCAGACAATGTTGATTATCTTGAATGAACTCACCGCATACAGATAGACGAATCCGACAGCCGAAGCATAATTCACAATGGCGAGTAAATATGGATTAGAACAAACGATACCTTTAACCTCTGCAAATTGATTTTTTTGGTTCTATCTATATTCTACAGATGAAAGGAGAATAATGATAATGGATACACCTTTTTCATTACACACCTAAGTGTGTTGAACAGCAGACGGAGCAAATCCCATAGGCACGAGGACCTGCTACTCCGTCATGGAAACCCGTAACCTAAGCCTCGGGGCTTGGAGTGGCGAACCACTTAAGGCCCCCATAGGTTAGACGTGGTATTGAACTGGACGACAGCAGAGCTGCTTACCACCAAAGTCGGGTGGCAGTGGAGGGGTTCGAATCCCGGACCATAGGGTCCAAAGCACGCCGGCGACAACTAAACCACTGCACCACCACTGCTGGTTTGTTGCAAGTGTGCACGTACTACTTGCTCTGTCACTATTTATGGGACTCTAACGTTTTAAGGCGAGACAGGAAGATCAGTAACATACTGACGAGTTGTATGGTAGCTCAATACCAATCATTACGGAAAGATAGAACAAATTATGTAAGATTTGCACACTGCCACAAACGTCACATTATACTATGTATACCGCGTCGGCGAACAGGATCATTATAGCTCCAACTCCCAACACTGACAACATCGGGGGTAATTGTCCTTGCAAGGCCACATACTGCGTGTGTATTGTGGACTCCAAATGTCGTAACTGATGTGGACACATGATTGTCTGACGTGTGCCAACATTGATCAATCACGTCGAGTTAACTTTCGAGCATGTGTCATTCGGTGAAGTATTCCTAGTCTGTAAAGATTACCTGTGTTTGTAGGGTTAGGTAAGAGTATGGTGCATCACACCTCATGGTTCGAGTCCTGCCAAAGAGATAAAAAGTACGCACTGCTGACGATTCTTAAACAGGACGAAACAGCTTTCCAGTGCTCTTTGTCGGTCATCACAAAATATCTATCGCATTTGAATCCATTTAACTGGTGGGGAATTACCGAGGAGTGAAACCCACAACCAAGATCATTGTCAATGCCTATGAAGAACTGAATGGACAAACCCAAATATTCCGTCTAAATTTATTCGAAATATCCATTGAAACACTTCAAGCAGTATACCTTATCTACTTGGCGCATCACTCTCACTGTCAATAGAAACGGGCTGACCAAGCCCTTTCCATCACTTCTACAAAATACCAATCTTGCTAGAAATCGGTTAATAATCATAATGCACAAAGCAGACAATCACGCTTAGGGTGAAAATGATGGTGCAGGTTAATCAAGTTGAATTGACACATTTCTTAGCATTATCCATAACAAATACTTCTTAGTTATCACTTTTCCCATTTGGTCGATACACTGGCACCGATTTGTGATGCACATGCTAGGCAGTGCAGGGGCAGTAGAAGACATGCTCATGGTTACGAAAACCTGTCCTGTCAGACATCGACCACTAGGTCAGATGCCAGTTACGGTAGAACGTACCAAAAAGTTGAGTTGTGTGAATCGGTCTGCAACCCGAAGCAGGCCACGGCAGGCGTGTGTATCGGCAAAAGCACGGATTCCCAAACAATTCGACGGATCCAGTTGTCGTTTGAGAAACTCGCAGCAGACATCCTGAACCTCTGTTAACTGGAGTAGACATGCAGCAGGAAGCAAATTTTGCACATTACACTCCTCCACCGTGATCTGACTGGTGTAGCAGAAATTGATCAACATTTCAACTGCCTCGCCATGCAGATCGTATAATGTGATCTGTGGGAAAGCGACGGACAAATTTAACCATCAAGTAAAAGTAGTTGCGTGAGAAACTGATAAATGCTAAAAAGGAAAGCAAAACGAATCAAGCCGTAGGATGACGGCTATTTTGTTTTAAAAGAGGTTCAGGGTGGATTTGTTCGGGTGAGTAAAGGACATTTCACTAGGGAAATTGAAAATGATTATATGAGTTGAAGTAATTGAGTGTCACCTTAATCAATAAAAGTGTTCCGGAAATCCATGCATTTACTCGTTTCTATATGAGTTTGTCACATTTTCATGTGGTGACTGCTGTACTTCGATGACTGGAGTTCTCAAAAGCCCCAGTTTTCCGCTTTGTTATCCCAAAACAAAATATTCTCATAGAATTCGCCTTGGAAAACAGTTTTCTGAACAATTGTGCTCATCGCCTCCCTAAAATAAAGCTACCTTCGACATTTATCTCACAGTTACTTGTGAGTAGTGGTGTGGGATAATTGACGTTGATTTTGAAATGACCATCCTTCATACTTCATCCTCACGCACAATCCTCAGTTCTTCCAGTCAATCATACACTCGATAGCACTACACTCTAATTTCGCTTTTATTAGAACTCATCAGTAGTGCATATCCACCGTTCCTTCGGGCTTTGAACTCCGGACCCACCGCATGGAAGGCGTGTATGTTACCACTGTGCCAACCAGCTCATACCACGGCTGAACCGAATAGCCAATTCATGTTTGTTTAGGTGTCGTTTCCAGTGACAGCTGGTCAGCTCATTTATAGCCGAACAGCAACAAAGGGAAACACAGTTGACTCTTTTAACTCCAATTGAAACCCCACCACCACCACCACCAAATCAGGTCCTTCATGCAGGTTACGGGATAACTGGCCATCAACCTACTAGGTTAGCTATCTTACTGAAACGAGTGGACAACTTCCGGGGATTTATATTATTTTTTTATTCAACACGTAACCAATTACAGAGAACTGGCAAATGTGCCACAACATATGAACAGAAAGAAATTTGAAGAACGTGTTCATGGGTTGTGTGGGCATGTTACTTTCCGGTGGCCCTGGCCGAGGAAGGGGGATAACGTCGGGATCCCCACCCGAAACCTTTGGCTAGAAAACCAGACCTGCAAGACAACAAGACGGAGCTCAGAGTCCGAGGTCCATTGGGGGCCGGTCTCCAACTCATCGGATCATACGCCCTTTGGACGGGGCCAAATATTCAAGGTGCCAATACACCTCGATGCTCAACTGAGCCGATGACCACTGCCGCGACCAGGAAGGTGTGTGTGGTTCTTACGCCTCTTCTTGGTTGGTTTGGATTAGGGTTTTTATCCAACTCCCCTAGGTGAACTGCTAATGGTTCACCAACCCGGTTATAGCCCCAGATTTCGGCTTTTCATCCTCTCACTTTAGTGGGAAAACACCTCCGCCACGGGAAGGCAGTAAGTAGGGCTTCCTCAACAGAGGCCACTGCAGACGCTGGGCCATATTAGGAGCATTTCGCGTGGAAAGGAAATGGTGATCAGTGACAAACCCAGACACCCACTCCGACCATACTGAGGCTTCGTGGGATAGGAAACCATCGTTCCAAGACAGGAAAGTAAGTGAACTATCGCTCACCAAGACTCGATTAATACAGAAGCATTTAAGCATGATGAGGAATCTCATTCACGAATTACAATCTTTTCACGTTGCGTCCCATGATATGTTCGATACTTTCTTGTTAGGGTGAACGCCCTCGTGGAAGGCTCCAGATGAAGTCTCTGAAGCTCATTTATTCTATTTTGTTTGATGTTTTAAAAAGTCGATCACAAAATCGGATGGCCTTCATCCACTGAAAATATATACATGCGGTAGTATCTAGCAGTTCCATTTCCGTGTGTACAACCCTTAACCATGCACTTTTGTGCATGATGAGTTAACTTCTAGCATCGATAGCAACATTTTGTTTGTGTCGTAATCGAATTTTACATTCATTGCCCTGTGTTCCGCCTGAAGTTGTCAAATCTAGCAAGGCACGTTGGTTCTGGAAAGAGTAGGAGAAAGACGGAGAATTCCGGCAGACTAAAGTTGCGAATATAATCATTAAGTGCAGGAACGCCAATACTTATGACACTCAGCCATATCACTCATTGTATCTGGTCATTGATCACAATGATCCCGAAGTACTCGATTAGGGAGCTTAACGCGACTTATATGACCGAGTCTCCTGGTTAGGGTTTTCATACCCTAATGTCAAATCTTATTTTAACCACCCTAACGGGGGTTGCGTTAGAGAAGATCAACTTAGGAGAAAGCCGCCCAAAAGGGAAGCAAAAGAAACTCACATACCAGTGTTAAGGTCCATTAACTTATCACCCCAAAATCGTGTGTTGGAACCCCACCATCGTTGCCAGACTTTCTGCGGCTTTTCATTTGCTAAAACTTATTCTCGCTACCATGTACTCAATAACAAGCAGAGAATTAAAACGATAGTAGATTGCCACTTACCAGGGGTTTGTTGAAAGGTGGCAGAATGAATGGATGCAGGAGCCTATTGATACATGTGGAACTTTTTCTACCAACTTTTGGATCATATTTCAACATTTAGTTTAAGGAAAGTGATAAAACATCGCTTAATGAATGGTGAAACTATGCAAGCTAAAAAATCGCGTCGAAATAAACTTCCTTGAGAACAATTTTAAGGCATAATAGACATCCTAATGGACGGTAAACCGAGTCGGTAAAATTTCAGCCACTCATGTTACTGTACTGAATCTTTCAATGAAGGCATATGAACATTAACTGGGCGACAACCTCTGATGAGAACATAAACATCACACAGTGTGAATCAAACTGTTGTGGTTAATTGAAATGGTTAGCAATTAAGCAATCACAATAACAGCAATTCAATAGGTGGTCATCCCATGAAGCTTACCTGTGTTTGTCGTGATTCAGCAAGCTCGCCAGTAAACATGGCACGGAAATAAGCGGAACAGGCAGCCAGAACGACACGATGCGTGTAGATTTCTTTTCCGTCCACCAACAATACCACATCACAAAGTTCACGATTTTTGCGTAACGAATTCATCGCTTCTAACGAATGTTTAGGGTGCCGCTCAGAAGTATAAGCCAGGCGGCTGTTGGTTGATTGGCTCTGATTCGATTGCTTGTTTTGGACGGTTGACGCAACCAAATTAGACATATTTCCACTGGATGTCGAACCTGAATGAGCAAACGATCCGCATCTAGGGAGGGACGTGTCTGAAGTAGTTGATGTGGACATCACAACGGAACGGGAGTTAGTAGATACGTTGCCTGGACCGGCAGACTGAGACCCATAAAGTTCATCAGATGCAACACAATTATCATTGTGGCTGACACCGCTGGATCCCAGAGCTGTTGTATCCACCAAATCATGGCTGGTCAGAGGTGTACCATCATTCAGGACCCTTGAAGCGCCCGAGCTCTGAGTGTTATTGGTTACAGTTACGGTACTCGAGGCACTATGGCCATTCGAATTGGAATTAGATGGACGGTAGGTAGCTGAAACATTTCTCCCGCTTGAGAAGGGAGGTAGATCAACGTCCATTGGCTGCATCCCTAATTGTAGTGTGCTAGAACAATCATTTCTGCGGACAGTGAGATTCGCAAAATTAACAAAATCTAAATAAAAAAAAGAAAAACAGTAGTGAATTAAATTAAGCAAGCAGCGACGCCACGTTGGAAATGTAATGAAATTCAGTTCAAAAATGAAAAGGTTTTTAAATTCGGTGCATCCTTCAGAAATCGAGTAAGAAAATGACAGGTTTGTCCTATTCTTATTTGCAGGAATTCTGCACAACCTGCTTGAAGCCATTTCACTGACGTATTCTTTTATACAACTGTGCATTATCGTACGTTGTAGTTTCCACAAGAACACTTCGGTGAACCTCATCACACAAGTACAAAATGAGACTAGTGGTTCCTTCGGACCAGTATCAAATTCACCATTGAGCACAATGAGCCAAAACCCATGTTTGTTGGAAGCAACAGTTCAAGGGAGCAAGATCCTTCAATAAAAGTTTAGTCTGGCGGGGTTGTGCAATTTACAATCATCGGGAAAATATCCGATGGGAAGTAATCATGATCATACAGTAGAACAATAAACAATCCGTAATAGCCTGGGGTTCAGTTTAGTTCCGTTTTTACAACCATTAATTATGCACTTTCGTGCGCCGGCTTTTGATTGTTGTCTTTTGGGTGCTCGTTTGGAAAAAAGAATACAATGAACATTAGAATGTTGAGATCAAATTCAAGCGTAACATAGATTATTTATATCGACTGATTGTTGTGATTTTGTTACATTTTTGGATATTTTTACCACAGTATCACTGTTTACCGATAGTGTAGATTATCTATCTTCTATTTCAACCGATGTACCTACATTCCTAAAAGATTAAAGCTTTATTTCAGAGTTTCCGTTTTTGATTTCCCGTTCATCGCTCAATCATTCGAGCTAGTCACACTGGTGTTACAACAATAACGAGTAGCTGCATAAGCGCCACTACTTACGACACCCAGCCATGTCGCTCAGTGTATCTAACCACCGGTGACCATGACCTCGGGGTCCCCAGCCAAAGGGTCTAACAGGACCTATGTGACCCAGTCTCCTGGTTAAGGTTAGCATACCTTGATCTTTTTCTATCCGCTACCTGCCTCGGCAAACATCGCACGCCCTGGCAACCTATCTGATAATATGCGTAACAAATGTCCCAAACAGCGTAATCTATGAAGGTCGACTACTTGCTCCAATGGACGACCGCGATTACCTAAAACTCTACGCCTAACCTCAGTAGTGCTCGTCCGGTTACCCCATCAGACTCTGGCAATGCCATGTAGACAGCGGTGTTCGAACACCAACAATCAATTTTTATCCTGTTCCCGCAATAGCCAAGTCTCTGCAACGTAAAACAGCACTCGCCGAACTGCACCAGCATACACTCGACCCTTCACAGACAGGCGGATGTCACGACGGCGTCACAGATGTCTCAAGTTGGCAAATGCAACTGAGCTTTCTGTATGCGCGCCGACACTTTATCTGTGATACGCCCGCAACGTGAGATATAGCTGACCAGACAGCAAAACTTGTCTCCTTCATCTACTATGTGCCCAAGAAAGGCGAGGTGGGGGTGGATCAACCTAATCTTGAAGCAACACCTTACGCTTTAAAGGCCCGGAACGCATACCAAACCTGGTTACACTAGCATCCAAACTATCCAGAAAAGCTTGTAACTTACCTGGATCTGCAATCAGTAGTACAATGTCGCCTGCATATTCTACATCAGAGAGTCTGCCACCGAGGAGTAAGTCGATAGTGTACGAGGATAGGAGTGTTGCAAGAATTAAATCTATGACAAAGTTAAACGGAAACGAAGAAAAAGATGACAATTATGTCGAATACCTATTTCTGTAGTGGACTAGGGTGAAGAGGTGTCGTAGGCTCGGACGGCTTCGGCTATTAGTATAGAGGGATCGTAGTATTGAAATAAACTTCTCGCGCACAACCTTTTGAGCTTGGCAGCGATCAGTGAAGCTCGCTTCACTGTATCTCGCTGTACGATGATGATGATGACCCTTTAGAGCGAGGCAGCGCCAGAGTTTAGAGCGGTCCACTGAGTCGAAAGCCGCTTTCAGATCGAGGAAGGTAGAAATGGTGGGTCTACGAAATGTGTCTGTGTTCTAGAATTTGATGAAGATTGAAGATGTGGTCGATACAACCTCGACCAGCTCCAAAATCAGCCTAGTTTTCACGTGAGCACTCATCACCTGCGGCAGACAATCGACGGAGTAAGATACCGCGAGAAGTCCAAAGGCAATGTTGAATAAACAAATTCTTCTGTGATTTTTACACTTTCCACCTTTCTTGTAAACCAGTATGATCACCTACTTACACCATTCGGTGTTGGAGTTTCGTTAACTTCAAAACCAAACTGAACCTCCACCCTTAAAAACCGATGGAGACAGCCCGTCCTCCAACTGATGGTCGAGTTAAGAGGCGATCTGACAGTTCCGCTTCGAAGGCCAATTTGCAACCGCTGCTGACAATGTATCGTGGGCATCCGTTTTCAGCGGCTTTTATGCGGTTGTTTGCTAGGCATAGAGAGAATCTCGCTTGTAGCAGAGCATGGTCCGTGTCCACGGGTGCGGCAGTCTTTAATGGATCCTCGCCAGCGGTGGCTCAAGGCGATGTATTCGATTTGAGTCCAGCGCTGTGAATTTATTCATTTTATATTTGCATTTTTCACACGTCTGACGCCAGACTGTGCCAGACAACTCAGTATACAAACCGGTAATAGCCCCGGATTTCGGCTTTTCGTCCTCTCACTTTGGTGGGAAAATACCTCCACCACGGGAAGACAGTAAGTAGGGCTTCTTCAACAGAGGCTATTGGAGACGTTTGGTCGTCTGGGAGCATTTCGCGAGGTGCAAAGGAAGAGTGATCGAAGACATTCACCCCCGACCACACTGACGCTTTCGGAGATAAATCTAGTCTTAAAGAATGGTGAAGCATTGACCCAAGAATGTAGTGGAATGATTGAAGATCTCCAAATTGTAGCTAAGAGTGGGTGCCCAACATCGAAAGCGATTGGCGGTGTTTTTTCACTGCATGTCATTGTATGATGAACAGTAAATGGGTTAAAACCCATAGTCATGAAGATCTGCCGTTTAGTCAGTATCATCGTGCAGCGAAATACAGTGAGGCGAACTTCATTGATTGCTGCCAAACTCACAATGCATACAAGGTTAGTGGTAAAATTTAGGGTGGACAGGGATTGGACCGATTCTGAGGGAGGGTGAAGATGAGCCACTATGGTCAACACACAGAGTACGCAATCGAACTCTGCATACATACCTTTCAAGCATTTTGACCTGATAAGAAACGACAACAAGAACGCCACTGCTGTCGGTTCGCTGCCATATCCTTCAATGTCTCCAACCAACCAGTTGTAGTCTTTCGGACCCCAACCTGGAAGGCGAGAGACACCTACTCTACCTAATGGCTCTGTGCATTTCTCCAAGCCTCTTCTCCACGTCATCGATTGACCTCCAAGCGGTTTCCTCCAGCCCGAATTAGCTACAGCGAATAAAGCGCCGTGAGGCAGACGACAGCTGGGCATACGCAACACGTGTCCTAGCCAGCGGTCTACTAATCTGAATTCAGTGTGCCAACAGGTTTATATCTGGCAGACTCCCAAACACACGACGGCTTGCCTCCACGTTACTAACCCATTCGCTCCATCCAATGTAGGCTAAACTACGTAAACACCGATAATCAAAAACTTCCAGTCGATGGATACCTTCTACTCGTAAATTCAAGGTCTCACAACCATAAAGCAGAACTGAACCAACGGTGGCAAAATATACACGACCTTTCAATTTCAGCGAAACGTCGCGTCTACGCCGAAGGTGTTTCAGTCCTGCCTATGTTGTTCGAGCCTTGGAAATGCGGGCAGTAATCTCTCTTGTTGCACTACCGTCATTGGTCACGCAGCTACCTAAGTAGGAAAAGTAAGCCACCACAACTAAATCCTGACCATTTAGTTTCAGAGCGGGAGTAGAAGAAAACCCAGTCCTGCAGCATCACTTTGCATTTTGAAGGTGCAAAACACATACCGAATGTTGATACTGCACTTGTTAATCTATCAAGTGCACTTTGCGCGTCCTCCATAGATTCGAACAGACAGGCGAGGTCATCGGTGTGCTCTAAATCGCACCGCTTTTCTCCAGCTGCCCATTCAATACCTACATTTTGGAGACCACTGAGTGCATTCTCCAGCACCTCGTCTACGACGAAATTGAACAGGAATGGAGAAATAGGGCACCCTTGACGGAAATCGCTCCTGGTTTCGAACGATTTACTTACCCCACCGCAGACCCTTATGCTACCAGAAGTATGCAGGTACAACGACCGCGATAGGTTCACATACTTGCGCGGTATTCCTTTGCGGAGCAGCGACCCCAGAAGAGCTTCACGGCCAAGTGAATTGAAAGCTCCTTTTAGGTCAAGGAACACCGCGACTGTTGGTCGACGATGTGTGTGACGCGGTTCGAGGACTTGACGCAGAGTGAAGATTTGTTTGATGCACTTGCGACCGGCTTGTTGTTCGCAGATATTCCTCTCCTTTAAGAGTGTCAGGCGGCGAAGTATCACAGAAGTCAACACTTTTGTGATAATCGGAACTAAACTAATCCCACGGTGATTAGCGCAGTCGTTGCGTGATTCCTTCTTGAAGATCAGGACGATCAACAATTCACCCCAGGACAAAGGGATACGCTCCTCTGTCCAAACGCTGCAAAGTAAGCTAGTAATTCAGTCGACAAGAGAATCTCCGCCCACCTTGAAAAGAATAGGGAGAAGCCCATCAGGTCCCGTAGCCTTCCCTTTCTTCAATGATTAAATGCAGCTTAGTACTTCTGATTCTGATGGGGGCTCGCATGTTAGCACCCATGGAGTTTCCGCCGCAATTGCCACAATGACCACAATAGCACTGGGCCAATTGAACTATTCACTAAAATACTCTGCCCAGCGATCAAGCCGTTGTTCTTTATTGTGAATATTCTGTCCACTTTTATCGCAAATAGTCTCACTGACCGGCATGCGACGACCTCGGTGCTGCGTATCAGGTGAAATGGTCTTTGACTATTCCGATACAGAAGCTACCTCTATTTCACTATCTATTTTGGCCCACCAAATTTCACGATCTTTCTTAAGGCTATTTATGAGTTGACGTTGCAGGCAACATCGGTCCTTATACTGATCCTAACAAATCGGGATCCTTCGCTTTTGATCCATTAGGATTACTGAATCCTGAGAGATCCAACGCCTTCGGGGAACTTCGGGCTCAATCC